TAAGGACCCTGAAATGCCCAGAATGCGTTCCCCTTTTTCCTCAATTTCCCTTTTCAAAAGACCAAATGCTTGCTTGCAAAATGTAGCCCACATGAACAGAATACCAGAAACACAGTTCTGGTACAAAGTTGAATCTTTCCTTTGTCTAGAATCTTTCAGTTTAAAATACCTGCTCACAGATGTGAAAGAATTGTTGCATTTTTACCAAATGGATATTTAAAATGCAAGCTGTTAACCTAGTGTTATGAAACACAAATTTCAATTTGGGTTACAAAACGTTTTTCTTGCAGCTTGTTTTCCCTTTCACCCACTCTTTTTCTATTGTTCTGTCTAAAAGAGCAAGTGGTTGGGGCAACTCGAATGGAAAGTAGGAAAGCCAACTTGGCAAATCCACCCATGCCCGTTTTGGACTGCTACCAATTATTTGGTAGGAGCGGGGGTGAAATAGGTAAGTACTGGCTTGCGGCCACTTAGAATTTTTGGAGGGGAAATTTCAAAAAATCATACGGACTGTCTTGAAAGTCTGCTTCTGTAATGAGCTACAAAATATTCATATATATGCTGTCGAGTTACCATGAAAATCTCTTAACCTGTAACAACTAAGGTGCCTTATAATTATTTGTGGTTATTGACGATTAGGAAATAATGGACATCTCGTAGACCTACTCACTGTTATTAAGAAACGGGTCTTTTCAGTCACAACGCCGTCAACGCTCGAAACGAGGGAGTAGTACACACATGTATAACCGCGTCGGATTGAACTTTGCTTTTGCATGAAACCACAAGGTGGGGGTTAGTAGGGTTGAGTAGGCAACTCCATAACCAGCTATTTTTTCCCCAGCAGGGAACAATCTCACCAAGGAGGGTAATTGAGGAAATATGTATCCCCATAGGTTAAAACATACGACGTATACTCATCTTTGCCCGTATGGACACCTTTTAGGCAATATTTCATCGAGGAGAATAGCATACAGCCTAAAATATGGCCAACTATGTGCACGATTTGCTTATTTGCAATTCCGACTGCTATTTTTTGTCCTTTCTCCTTAGAACAATCGAGAAACGAGCCAAAGAGGAACGAGTCTGCTGACAAAAGAGAGAATATTCAAGCTGAGGGAATGAAAGGGAGACCAATTCAAGTTGAAACCCCGATGGAAGGTACTAGCAGTGATGCTACCAGGTCCATTAATGGTAACTCTGCACCAGAAACCTGTAAGCAACCTGGCAAGTTTGGGGATGATGGGCAAATCCACCATCAGTGCTCTCAGCAACAGGCGAGCCAAGGTCAGGAGGTCACTACCGATGACATACCGGGGAGAAATAATAACGCCTTCCGATTCCCACTCGACGGCTGGAGGGCGCCAGCTCTACACTCGCAGATTCAGCGGGGCCACATCTAGTAGAGAGGCAGCGCATGCTGCCCACAAGGAGGACCTGTCAAGTTCTGTCGAAGGCAGTGACAGTCACGCTTGTGGCATTCAAACCGAGGAGGAGCACAGGAATTATCTGGGTATCCACACCAGTAGAAGTTCACCGAACTGCTCCAAATCGAGGAAGCATCTTCGCACGACCAAGCTGATTTCTAAAAAGTACATCAATCAGTGTGATGTGTGTTCTAAAACTCTTCT